AAAATTGGGGAAGTTAGTTTAGAGCAAACAACCATGAATTGATCGTTCAATCTTCAACTACATTGACAACCGTGTTTGTCTTGCATCTTGCAACTTATCTGTGGAGGATGTACCACGAAATCTGTTACACTCACTACATCTATATGCATTACTAGACATCAGGGAGCCTTTTCGATATCCACCTCTCTGTGACCCTTTCGTCATCAACGATTGCGTTTTTTCCGCGGACTGCTCTATTCTAGGGGTGAGATTCAATATACTGGCAAACTTGCTCATAGATTGATTGACACTATTGTTTACCTGTTTCAGAATGTCATTGGACTTTGGCTCGATACCCTCATCCTCCATACGGGAGCTCATCTTCACCCACTTCCTTTGCAGTCGAGTAGGTAGACGTCTTGCTATTACTTCTAGGATAAAACTCGAGTTGAGGTCATTCATGCAATTCATCGAAATCAAGTTATTCTTATAAGTCATAAGATTATCTAAAATCTCAGTAAGTGCCTTGGAGTCATCTTGAAGTTGACTGCCGTTACCTTTGATAGCCTCGTATACGTTCCTTACAATCATCGAAGGTCTTCCAAACCTTTGACGTAATATACTCATAGCCTCAGCGTATCCCTCTTTTGGCTTCATAAACTTACAGCACTGTATAGCTCTTGCAGCATCTCCAGTGCAATATCTCATCAAATACATTAACTTCAATTCATCAGTTAATAAAAAACCACTCAGCATGATCTCAAACTCCTTTACAAATTGTAAATAATCAGCCGGATTTCCATCAAAACACCGTGGTTCAAATTTAGGGAGTTTGATGTTCCTATTATCCCTGGACGGCGAAACAGTAACATCAACCATTTTTAATTAGTTTTATTTTTATTTTTTTGTTTTTGATTACAGCTTGACAGCATGTCATGCTTAACATCAGACACATCGTTGCAAGTAACAGACAAGTCACCATGACTTACTTTCCTATTTGCTTCCTAGACGCTTTGTCAATTTTTTGACCCAGGCATCACTAGACTTAACCAAAATTCCAGAAAGTTCTAGATGACGCTTGTTCAAAGAAAACTTGGCCGGTACCAATAAAGACGGACGGATACTATTGAAACGTCAAAAACTGTTACGAACCGTCAGAAACTGTAAATCACCTCTCGAAACCGTTGATGCCCAGCTTTTGCTACGCCGGGCCTCCCGGTGTCCCTCGAAGCCTTTCAGATATGCTTAGTACCAACGGACGAAAAACCAAAACATCGATTGGCGACTCGAGAGCTCTTTATTTTAACACTAGCATATGAGCAACATAATAACTAAGATCTATGAACAAATATTACAATAATAAATCACGATATTACTCCTGACGGTTTTGGCCTGACTTCTTTCTGAACAGCGACCGATGAGACGATGATTGGTGTATTGATGCCTCCGCGAAAATATAGGGGAGTTGGGTTTGAGCAAACAACCATGAATTGATCGTCCAATCTTCAACTAGATTGACAGGCCCCTTCGTGAATGGCATGGATATACCTATATTTTAACTTGCTTCGATCCATTCACGCGATGGCCGGAAGCAGTACCCATCATAGACGTATCTGCTGAAACAGTCGCACGCGTCTTTGTAGAAAGATGGAGCGCTTTCTTTGGATGCCCATTTACCATAACAACTGACCGCGGGTGGCATTTCGAAATTGGCTTGTTCTTCGCCCTGACTGAAATCATAGGTTGCATGCGTTTCCGAACAACAGCATTCCATCCTCAAGCTAAAGGTATGGTAGAACTTCTACACAGACAGTTGAAAGCTGGTTTGTCAGCTGCAAACAACACCCATTGGACTGAATCCCTTCCGTTAGTTCTCCTAGGGGTACGAAACGCTTTGAAAACTGATGCTGGCTGTACTAGCGCCGAGCTAGTATATGGCACACTACGACTACCTGGTGAATTTGTTTCTCCCTCGGGCTTCTCACCAGTGGTAGATCACGCTTCATACGCCAGCAGGCTTACAAACGCAATGCGTTCAGTTAAACCTACTCCCCTTCGTCCACGGTCCACTGATATTTTTGTTCATCCACGTTTAATAACTTCTTCACATGTATTCGTTCGTCGTGACTCTGTGCGTAGACCTCTGGAACCCCCATACGACGGACCTTATAAAGTAATTAAACGTTCGGATAAATTCTTTTTCTTGGACAAATTTGCCGCGAGGACACCGTCAGCACTGACCGTCTGAAACCGGCTTACTTGGAGGGTAATCCCATTAGCACAAATCTCAACGTGCCTCATAATCAAGAAGTAACCAAAGATCGCTGAGACCTCGATGAAGTCACTAGCACGATGACAGCTACCGAATCTCCTGTCGAGCCCCCTAAAAAACCCGTTTTGGACGTACCGAAAGGATCCCAGAATATCTTCACAATTATTTAACATAACGAAGTCGTATGATTCACCCAACTTTTCCGTTTGTGGTACTAATTATTTTTTAGATGCATCTTTTTTTATATACAGTATTGCTAAAAACACGTAAATTTTTCTTTCTTTAACAGTACATAAAACATGCAACAAAAAATTAGATGCATTCTTTTCGATGTTCTAAATTTTGCATTATTTTACTGTATGGTAAATGCACATCATTTTTTAACAAAAAAGCTGATTTGGTATATTTTCCTCGACATGGTTCTTAACGGTCTTGCTTTCTTTTCCAGGTGCGACGGGCACTGGACAGGAAACGAACGAAGCACAGGATCCAACGGACAACATCAAGGAAACTATGTACAAACACCCTATTAGCATAGGCAGACAAACCAGTGGGCAAGCCACCAAGCCGCTCGGAAGAATTTTTCACCCGAAAGGGAACCATCGAGATTATTTTACTTCCGGCTGGTTCTGTCCTAAAGTCCCCACCACCCCACTACGGGGGGGTGAGCTGTAGCGGTAAATGATTCCCAATAAATTATTGACCGCAGCAATCATCACTGAACATTGGATGCTGACCACCACTGTTTAAGTCGACTTGTTTAGCTGAAGGCTTTCGGTCAATCATCCCCGTCATTTGGTACTCCGTCGTGTCACGTGCGGCACGAACACTAGCCAGCTAAGCGTCCGTCTAACAACTCGTTTCAGTCCTGAAATATATCGCGCAATTTGGACAATCAAATACTGTCTTTTGCTTTGCTTTTGGTACGCGAGAATTAACAAGTTAGAAGTTGATGTATAAGAGCTTGCGTTAATATACCCAATATTGTGCGCGAACATCTATACCGTCAACCTCTAAAGGTGAATCATTGATTTCAGCCTCTGAAGGAGGACTAAGTGGCAATATGCGCGTTACCGGTGTTGGTGATGGAGACTGTATTTCAATCTCACTAAAGGACGACCCATCGGCTATTCCGCAAGTAAAACCGAGAGTGGTGCGAAAGAAGCTACAGCGATTCAGGCCTGAAAACTTTTCAGGGTGTTACGACACTCCGTCATCTGTTCTCGAACAGTTCTCTGAGGCCCTTTGTAGGCTTTGATGCAAGTTGTTGCAACACTCACTGCATTCAGGGACACAGCCAGGGTGGTGGAAATGAGGCATTCCATCTCCTGTTTTCAGTGGTAGTGATAGACAAAATACATCCAGCTACAGGGCAGTAGAACTGCTCTCAGTGGTATCGAAAGTACTGGAAAGTTTAATGGGTGATTATGTCAGAGTACACCCTGACAGGACTAATAAACTCAGTGACAACCAACCTAGGTTCAGAAGATGTAGACCATGTCTAACAAACATACTATCAGCTCAGGACAATATGACATCATGCAGGGATGTGAATGTTCTAGTCCATGTGATCTTCCTAGCCTTTAAGAAGTAATATGACACAGTTCACTATGACCTCCTCTTACACAAGATAAGTCGGGCAGGTGGAGGAAAACCGCTTCTGTCACGGATGAAGGACACATTAGGTGAAGGGAAACTGTACACTGAGTTCAATCGTGTCTGATCTTTCTGGAACAGCTCGTTATCAAGGGCGTCACTGAGTTCCATCCTGAGATACTGACGTTTCTGAATTTTTATCAATGACCTGCCAGGCCGTCTAAGCTGTCTGACTCTTCTATGCGATGACGAAGTAAAGATTTGGAAAGCAACAAAGTGCTCGGAAGACTCGGATAGGCTGTAGACAGACCTAAAGCTTCTGCAAGACAGCTGGGTGACCAATGGCGTGAATTTCAACCTGAGTAAGTCCAAAGTGGTGAAAATACACACCTGCACCTGTAGGCTGCAGAATACAAGTTACACTTGATGCAATGATAGCTTATCCTGCACAAAGTCAGAACGTGACTTAAGTTTAGTTCTAACAGGAAAATGGGCACATGCGTAAATTACACGGGGGGTGTAGAGAGGGCATATGCAGTCATACACTTTACACATAGACAGTTAAGTGTACTCACTTCAGAGCTTTTCCTATGGCTGTACAAAACGTACATCAGACCACGCCTTGAAGTGCATAATATTATTCCACCCTACTGCTTAGAAGGTACTCGACGGTTTAGGAAATTGTCCAGAAAAGGGCGACAGAAAGGGTAATAGGCCTCGGAAACAAACCGCATGACGAACTGACGAAGGAATAAGGTCCGTTTACACCTAGATACTTCTGACTTATGAGGGACTTAATTAATACCTATATATATATATATTTTTAGGTTGTCTGTTTTTACGTTTTATCACCTTTTTAATGTTATGTCTGCATAACCTACATCAATTATATGTCATTATCATCTCATTTTCTTCGATGACACCAGACAAAAGGATAAACTTCATTCACAGTAGCTACATGGTGTTAACACACCGCATACTACAAACGTTATATAATTAATCCCATCATCACTCTTTCCGGAGTCAACTGAAGCTACGACAGTCGAGTGGTGGCACAGACTACGGAGGAGTTTACCGAAGACCAAACGCATTTAATTCACAAACGAGAAATGAGCACACAAAAATCGAATCGGTTTAGACTAGCAAGTTGAAAATGATACCTGATTGTGATGATTTCATCACATCTATTCGGAAACGTTTGGTGTGTCAGATAAAGAGGACCAACAGGTTTACATTATTACTCCACTAATCACCTTGGACGTGACAGACAATTTCAGCCATTAGACCTCAAAAAAGATTTTGAATCTTTAGAGCGCGGCATCGGAGCTTAAGGTAAGCAGCGCGCATTCCAAAGTATTTTCTGCCAGCTGGGGTTACCTCGGTCCCCCAATTCTTGGTCTTACTACGAACAACTTTTATACATATTCCGCGTAAGTTCGACAATAATACCATTGGAGTCAGTTTTTGAAGGTAATACATCTCACTTTACCTTGAAAATACTAACCGTCATCATGCAAATTAACTTAAGTTCCGATATATCCAATGTAGTTTTTACGAGCTGGTATAAACCACTTTAATTCTTTGTGCTCGCCTCTTGATTAGAAGGTATAGATTCCCGGTCTTCAGTAAGCTTCTGCGTAGCTCGTCCCGCCACTCGACTGTCGTAGCTCTGGTCGACTCCAAAAGGAGTGGTGCTAGGATTAATTTTTTTATTTTTGATTACAGCTTGATTCCACACTGTAGTTTTGGTGCAGGTATGGAATTTTCAGCGTGGATATCGGTAGCCCAAATTTCCCTGGCCGACCATAGATATCAGGTGTGCCTCGGTGTGGGGTCGAACCCCGGACCATGTGCATGGTTGGCGAGAGTCTTAACCACTGTGCCACCAACGCACAATAGTATGAGTGAGTATGAATAGAGTTTGTGCTCCGGTATCGTCATCAAAAGAAGAGAGATAGTGATAATAAATATAATTAGTGAAGTTACTCAGACTGACCGACAAAAAAGAAATATAGAAAACTTAAAACAGACAGCCGATTAAATTTGAAGCTGATATATATTTTTTGTTGCCTCCCCCTGAATGGTGTATGGGATTTTAAAGGCATAGGCCATTTGAACGCAGTCCCTGTGCTGCTGCATGATTGTCCAGTCTTCACTTAAAGGTGTCTGCAGACGGCGCGGTCGCTATATCTGCTGGTAAGGAGTTCCAGGGACGGCAAACCCGCAGTGAAAAGAAGAGGGAACACACCCGAATCCTTGCCCTCTGTTGAGCTATCCTTCTGAGATTTCCTCAAGGAAGCCCATACCTGCTTAATCACAGAATACCTTTGTCTGGGTGATCCTGTTCATTTGTTATCTTGTTGGCAGTAATCGAATCCCTCCTTATCCGACGGTAGTTAAGTATGAATAGGCCTAATTGATTCAGATTTTCATCATATGTTTTGTTTCGGAGACCAACCACTCCTTTTATCACCCATCTTTGCACTCTAACCAAGAGGTTGACGTTTCTTCTAAGCAGTAGGGTGGAATAATATCATGCACTTCAAGGCGTGGTCTGACGTATGTTTTGTACAGCCATAGAAAAAGCTCTGAAGTGAGTACACTTAACTGTCTGTGTGTAAAGTGTATGACTGCATATGCCCTCTCTACACCCCCCGTGTAATTTACGCATGTGCCCATTTTCCTGTTAGAACTAAACTTAAGTCACACTCTAAGGTGGTGCAGGACAAACATTATAGTGCCAGTGAAGTGAGGAATAGTGATAATTAAGTGCTGAATTTGTACGTTTTCTCCTAAAGATCAGTGTTCATTGCCGTTTTCCGCATAACTTGCGTTAGTTTCGCATCAGCTGATTGTTCGAACACTTAAACATTACAAGCAAAAGTCATTTTACGCACAGAAAACATCTGTTCAGTCTAATTTTATTAAGTTCAACATAGGCTTAGGATTCAAGGCTTGACCACTTAGTCATGTGTGCTTTGGTCCCAACTAGAAAAATTTTTAAAGTCAGGTGATCTAACTTTAGTAAAATATCGGTCAAAAACGAGAAATATTTGGTCATATAATCTCAATCTGACCATTTTATGACGGTCATGTCAGTTATTCAAGTTTTACCGTTTTCTCCCAACTGGAAAGTGATAAGAATTGGGTCAATAGTGGGCATGGCCAGTAGTAAGAAAAAGTAGGTGAGTTCTGGTTATATGCTGTACTTTCCCCATTTTGGGCATTATTTGGCCAAAGTTTAACTAGTATTCCCCATGACTTAAACGGTATTTTCCTGTTATTCAACTACCATCTTATTCATTATTTAAGTAATGTTTTTCTCTTTCGACCCATATGTGCCTATTATATTACCCGTCCTACCATTTGCCCAAAATCGACCCAGTCTCAACAATTTTCCTCTCATTTTTGTCCAACTGGGTTACATTTTGTCCCACTTCATTGTAAAGTGATTATATCCTATGCTTTTCATCTAGATGAATGAAACGTTACTCAAGTAGTAAGTGTTACTGAGAAGCTGAAATGCCAAGATACTTCTAAGGATGTAGCCAAAACTTAATGTGAATATGATAAAATGCAACGAATGCATATATTACTAATGCCGATCCTGGCGATTTATTATCACTTTTTGACTTTATTATTATAAATAAATTAGGTTGAAACAAAACAAATTGTATTGGCTACAGATAACTACCCACTAAGTAACCCTGGAAACTGATAAGAGAATTTTGTTTTGTGGCGATCTTGTTGACTGTTGACTGCAGCCGTAAGATTTTGACTTCCTCATATGTCACATAGGATACCAGACAGCCGTATCATTATGTCGTTTGCTTTCAGCGGCTTCAACCACTATCAGTAGTACATTTCGGTTCTTTTTCATTTTAAAGCTGGCAACGACCCCTAGATAATACCGTCACGTCAAAATGATAATTCATTATTTTAAAATCTGTAAGCTGTCCATAAGAGCAAGTAAATGCACTAGCTGAATATTTCAGACGAACTTCTAGTATTATTAATGCTTCTTCATTATGTACAAACATACCAACCGAAAAAAACTGAAAATGTATTTTTATTTTATTTTTGATTACAGCTTGATTCCACATTATATTTTTGGTATTAGTATGGAATTTTCAGCATGGATATCGGTAGCCGAAATTTTGCAGGCCGACCATAGATATCAGGTGTGCGTCAGCAGGGGATCAAACCTCGGACCATGTGCATGGTCGGCAAGAATCCTGACCACTCATATGACGACACTCTGAATCGGTCCCTGAAAGTGTGTTGAGACAATTATTGCTGCTTTGTACAAAGAATTCGCAGTTCCGATTTAATAACCAACGATACTGGCTGACTGATGAAGTGACTATAAGTTCGCCTGTCTTTACGAACCTTGAACGAGTGACACTGAGATAAAAATTAGAAAAGTCCACATATTACTTCAGGTATGTTGACGACACAATCACTGTTCTCAGTAATGTGAACTGTTCAATGATGACGTTTGATGAACTCAGTGTAGCTCATCTTCACACTGAGTTTACAATGGATTATTAACGCGATAACCAGTCCATCTTTTGGATCATATTATAAGGCGTAGAAAATTAATGGGCTCACTGCAAAGTCATTGTGTTCAAAAAATAAGATTGATGATGAGCTCACGATTATTGAAAGTAATGTAGCGGAGAATGGATTTCCCAAGAATTGTATGATGAAATGAGGGAGAAAAAAATGTCCGGAATGAAGTATAAAAGGATTGAGAAGAAACTAGTTTTTATTTGCCTGGCGTACAAGGGGGAAGACGCATCAAAAAGAATAAAAAGGAATCTAAAGTGTATTGAAAATGACATTTCACGCCACTAAACTGATTCCTTTTTGTAACACGAAATGTCCTAATCATGTCAACTCCAACTATGTTTACGAGTCCAAATGCAATTGCGGTAGCAAGTACACAGAAAGGACTGGGAAGAGAGCGTCTTCTAGATTTTCTGAGCATATTCCCAACAACTTTCGTATGGAAAGTATGTGTGTTTACAAATGCAACTGCTTAGAGCCTGATTAACTTAGGACATTTAGTCGAAATCCGTCAAGCCTTCAAAATAATCAATATTCAGAGAAACCTTAGTTACTTCGTCCCACATAAGCCACTGCCACCGAGAGACGTCAGCATTATTTCTGTATGTAGAAAGATAGGGTGACTAGTTTCACGCTGCCCTGATAACTAGACGTCTCTGCTCTATTTCTTTATTTTAGCTGTGTCAATTTATTTTTTTGCTTATAACTCACAAAGCCGAAATTATTATTGATCTTCAGTTTACTTAATTGCTTGTATATGTAATAATTTTACTTTTACCATTTCCCATCCCCACTCTCTCCTCTCAAGTATTCCACTGCACTGTGTACAAATAAACTCTGGTTATTAGATTATTAACTATCTCGTATTCATGTACCTTGTTCCACAACTGTGCTCTTTGCTTCCAAATAATTTTCGAAGAATGTTGTATATATTTGCATTTTCAATAACTTATGTCAATTTTCACGCTATTGGCAGATGAAGAGAAGCAGTGAATTAAGAAGTGGACTCTTTTTATCCTGTAAATATGTTCGTCCTATCTGTTGAAATTAATGCATTTGTATATGTTGCATGTAGCTGGAGAGAAACGGATAAATTAAAGTGATATCAACATACTTCACACAAACCGTAGTTTTTACTCTATTTGATGAATAGGCGAAAATATGTAAAGTTTCAAAATAAATAGTTCTTTCTTCACCAAAAAAGATGCTTTAAATAAAATCTTAAACACTTTCATTTCTTTAAATGTATTTGTTTAATTTAGATTTGGTGTTACTCTCAATAACTTCTACGCAGTTGCTTACCACGTATGGGTTGTATCTGGAAATAAACAATGGATTTTACGTGCCCAATATGCCTCAACATCCTGTTCCGACCAGTTTGCCTTCCCTGCCAACATCAGTTTTGCAAGGACTGCATAGTCCAGTCAGTGGACTGTGCTGCATATCAGTGTCCCATTTGCAGATATAGACTTTCGAACTGGCTACGTAAAGTAAAAGACATAGATCTAGTGGTTTCACGAAAAACAGAAGATGAAATTAGAAACCGCTTTCCAGATTATTATACTGCGAGAGAACAGGGAATTTCTCCTTCGTCGGAACTTGCGGTGGAACGTATGTCAAGTTCAAATACAGGTATGCTTTTGCTTGACTTAGGTGCAAATGACAACTTCACTTGGTGATACCATTTTCGTATGGATATCTTTGTGTATTTAAGAGCAAAATTAATTTTGAAGTATATTGGTTTCTCTGAAGTCTAACTGCTACATCTAAATAAATTCTATCTGCGTATATTCCTTGTCATCTGTTTTAGATCCCGTTCCTGATTGTTCTGCACAACCAGGTGACGTGCATGAATATTACGTTAAAGAGGTTGAGAAATACTCTCGTTTGCGCTCCTTGGAAGACAAAGAAAACGAAGAGGCTTCGCTAGCTCTTGCAGCTCAGCTTCTGTATGAAGATGGTTGTAGTTTAACAGATGATATCCCGATATCTGGTAAGTCTTGACTTCAACTTAACATCCAAGTAAACACTAGACGAGCATGTTGACAGTTGTCATCACATTAACAACGACCGTTACCCAGTGTTATCATCTTCTAAAGTTAGAAGCGTTGCAGCGGAACACAAGAAAAAACAGGGCAACAAAGCACCTAAAATTTGCAAGACATTACTGGATTACGCTGTCGATACTTTAAGTGCAGAAACGGAGCCGGAGGAACAGGTAATTCCCACTAACAGTTTCTATCGCTTTGTTTCCTCATGCACTAAAAGATAAGCTTACTGATAATATCCGAAAACAGATAATCATGCCATTGCCACAATGCGTTTTCTTTCTATTATCTGAGTAGTTTATTATTTTGACATTAGTAAAATCTGTATTTGCCAAGACCGAAGAAATATATATGCGCTTGATGAGACTACCACGTACTTGCAGAGATGTGATCAAGTCTATAGACTCATTGACTCACTTAATTAGCGAATACCGAGTTGGTGTAACTAAAGTTGATTCGAAGAAAACAAAGTAGTTTGGTGGAGATGAAACACTTGTCCGAAAAGTCACTGGTTGTCGGTCAGACTATTGTGGCTGTTTCACTAGTTGTATTACTGTAGTACAACTAACTCGTTGTCCAAAGGAATTAAGTTAGAGTAACATTAATTGAACTGTTGACCTTAATGGCTGTTAGTATGACCTATTAGTCACTTCCCACATTAACTACAACTAAATTGCTGAGAAATACAAAATAACTATTGATCAATGCATTTATTATCAAAATCCTTTGTCGGCAGTTAATAAGTTGTTGTTTGTAGACGAAAGTATGACCTAGGTTATACTTAACAAAAAACATGTCAACAGTATGATTTGAAAGGTCATTAGTAAGCCAACAGATCTTGCTGCCGATAGGTGCGAAACTGCCCCATGACATAAGGCAGTATGATCTACCGAGTTCATGTCACGCTTAGAACCGTTGGTTTAAGACGTTTTTCTGTATGGTACATTACTCATCACAGTAGAGCAGATGCATTCATACTTTTAGCACTACATTACTACTATCCCATATCATTTCGTTGTTTTTCGATTATGTGATTTTCATGTTTTATTATTTTTTATTTATTTTTGGTTACAGCTTGATTCCACACCGTATTTTTGGTACAGGTATGGAATTTTCAGCATGTGATATCGGTAGCCCAAATTTTGCAGGCCGACCATAGACATCAGATGTGCGTCGGCAGAGGATCGACCTCCGGACCATGTGCATGATCGGCGAGAGTCCTAACCGCTGTGCTACCGACGCACTATCTTCTACTTGACTTGAGGTGTGGCAACTTTTACCTCAGTGTAGAAATGATAGGTTCAAATTGTTGACGCATTCAACGATAGTTTTCGGATAGTCATTATTTTTTATTTGTTACGTTTATCACTTAAGATAGTATGATTAAGAAAAATTCAAATTTGTATAGGCCCTACACTATATTTCCTTCAGATCTTTCTTGACAAAACAGTTTCGTCACAAGCTTTGTATTATGTTCCTGCGTAAACTACTGTATCGACACTGCGCTAAAAATTCTACAGTAAATTATCATATGTTTAAAATTTTTTAACAACTATGTAAACCAGTTGGGAACGTGAATAGTAGATGCCACAAGTTACTGTTAAAGTGTTGTAGTAAAATTGTTACGCAAGGCCATAGAACAATATTAAAAATGCCAAGCTTTAAAAAGAATTTAAGAGTATTAGTGCAAGCAAAATAGACAATAGATAGGACATAGTGATAATGACAACAACAAAACTGATTTACTACGTCATGAACCACAAACAGAGTGAAAATTTTATGTTACTACTGAGCCTCGCGGAATGACACAGGATCTGGTCCTACGAGACTTTCGTGGGAGAACAAGAGCTTGAAAATTACACTTGACAATAACCATGCATTGTAACACATACCTGCAACTCAAGTGTATCACTTTGCTGTGAGGGTTCTATATCACCACACTCGGTGAACTAGCCATTCATCGTCCATCCTTAATGTATGTGCTAAACTGGAGCATTGTGTTCTTAGGTAACTCCAGCTTAATTCCTTTATTATTATTATTCAACAGTATTATTTACTGGATGACGTTTTGAACACAATTTTTTGCTCATAATCATATAAATTATAATCACACAACTTCAAAACTTTCGTTGTAGAGTTTTCTCTATCCTTTCCTACTTGTCGTAGAGATATTAGTAGAATTTTCCGGATATCTCGGACAGGTGTTGAACCATTCCTATTACACCTGTGTGTGTTTTCAGTTGCTCCGATAAATAAAGCTTCCGCCACCAATCTCTCTCCTCACCCTGTTACATTAGATTTTAAAACTGTCATCTTATCCCATCCATCTTGTTGTATGGTTGTGTGTGATTGCATGTAGTGTTATAGCTGAACTATTCTTCAGATTTCTTATTTTATCAGGGTCAACCAGTCTTGATTTTGCTAGGTTTTCGTGTTCTTCTAGTGTGACTACCCCACTTCAACTACTTTGACCTGACAATCATTGTTTTGTTTATCTATAACTGAATTTGTGGGTTTGAATGCCACTTTTATTCCTGCATTGTTAAGAATTCTGAGTAAGGTTTCCGAAATTCTTTCTTTGTACGGAAGTACTACTGATGATTTAAATTCCCCATTGCTGGTGTTGTCATTATCCTGCATACGTGTCGTCATTAATGTTATTATCACTGATTTTATTTTTACATTTTCCTACATACTTCCTTATTAATTTATCAGTGTAATTATTAAATTTCGAAGTTTCTGTTATATGCCTCACTTCCTGTCCCAGATTCTCCCTGGTACTACTTAGTTTTTGTGTCCAACTACTTGAACTTTCACCAGTCCTATTTTTACTGACATAGGGATGATCAGAAATCCAAATATCGGCTTGAATGTGTGGATTTCCCGTAAACACTAGTATTTAACTTCCTACTTTTTTCCTTCTCACTTTGGCAGCTCCCCTTGCTGCTTTCCAATTCATAAGTGGATTGAACTGCCTCCACCTTCGAGTTGATGTGTTCGGAAAATCTGTTTATGTCCTGTGTTCTAATTACGGTAAATGTGTCATCTAGATACTTCCACCATACTTTTGGGGGTGGGGCTGAATGTTCCAATCGCTAAAGTTTCCCACTTATCCGTGAATGTATCTGCCACAACCGGTGATATTGGTGACCCCATTGCAACTCCCACAGTTTGTTTATATATTTTCCCTTGGAAATTAAATAATGTGGAGATCAGGCATAGATGCACTCCCAGCATTATGTCCTCTTCTTCTAAGTTCAAGTTCTTGGTCAGAAATCAGTTTGTATCTGACTGCCTCTATAGCCATATTGGTCGGTATATCTGTAATAAACTGACGATGTCAAAACTAGCCATTTTTCCTCACTATCTAATTTTAAATTAATGAAAACAAAACACGTAGTTCAGCGAAGAGTCTTTTCGGCGAATTCATTTTCTTAGCTGTACAATCTCAAATGTATGTGTTATTCTGTATGTATGTGTACATTAAGTTTGTCAAACAAAAATATAGTTCAGCTATAACACTACATGCAATCACACACAACCATGCACATGGTCCGGGGTTCGATCCCCTGCCGACGCACACCTGATATCTATGGTTGGCCTGCAAAATTTGGGCTACCGATATCCACGCTGAAAATTCCATACTTGTACCAAAAATACAGTGTGGAATCAAGCTGTAAATCAAAAATGAAAATGAAAAATACAACAAGATGGATGGGATAAGATGACAGTTTTAAAATCTAATGTAACAGGGTGAGGAGAGAGATTGGTGGCGGAAGCTTTATTTATCGGAGCAACTGAAAACACACACAGGTGTAATAGGAATGGTTCAACACCTGTCCGAGATATCCGGAAAATTCTACTAATATCTCTACGACAAGTAGGAAAGGATAGAGAAAACTCTACAACGAAAGTTTTGAAGTTGTGTGATTATAATTTATATGATTATGAGCAAAAAATTGTGTTCAAAACGTCATCCAGTAAATAATACTGTTTCACTATGTGATATGTTTAATAAAGGAATTAATGTGTATTCCTCTATCTGTAATTTTTTAATGGTACTATTTTATCATTAGGTGTTCATGTGTGCTTATCGTATTGATATTTCGCAATTCACCTAACTGATATGCACAATGTAACTCAGCTGATACGTTAATAGTGTCCCACTGAGTAATTGCATTAAACACACATGTTGTGTTGTTAACTGATTTTATCTGAAATAGTGACCGTCATCTAATGAAAACTACTTGTATTTTAATAGATTTTACGTGATGAAAAATTCGCTCGACAGTTGCAAGCTCAGTATTCAAGATTGTCGGATAAACCGATAAAGCAAACGCGTTCACGACGGAGAAAGTGAATTCCTATTCTTGCAGTTGATTATTGATCAATTTTAGAAGTAATTTTACGCTACGAATATACATTTTGTACAAGATTAAACCATGGTCTCATCATCGTGTAAGTAGTTATTGGGACACTTTGAAACTGCCTTAAAAACATGCGATAAATACACCTGCACTCAAAATGTACATAACGTTATCAACATCATTGCTGATATTGCAGTCCAGGGAATTTCCTACTTACATCTCTTAATACACAGAAGTTATTTGATGAAATCTTTTGTGATTGTATAATCAGAGAGTTGGCGTACACTGTACTGTATTCCGGAATGTAAAATATATATGATGAGACAAAATTAAGTTTTCTTTAGTCTGTTAACGACCATTCGTCACATAAAGTTATGTGCAACCCATCCGTTTCAGTTTGAGTTCAAACCCTACTGAATATTTGAGGGGAATCCTGACGACTTACTTGGGTCGTAAGAAACTGCTCCAAACATCAGATTTAATTTTCCATAAAATGCTGATCACACTTTTCGAATGATTTATTTCTTTGTAAAAAAAAAGGTAGTGACCATAATTTCTAGTGTATAACTGGAAAAAACGAAGATAATTAATAATACCTGTCTTACACTTTATACTGAATAATATAATTTTTATACATATAGATAGAGAAGTACACGTATAACCACCGGAACCAAACTAACTGTGATTTATGTTTTAACATACTAGTGTATGGAATATGGATGAGGTTGATTGGGGGACAAATGAAGTCCTCTCTAAATAAAATCGAAATAAAGAAATCAATGAGGAAACAATATTTGCGTATAATGGAAACACTCCGTAAGCAGTATAGCTGCGGAATAAGTTTGTTTCTGCAAGCTTTTTTCAAAACTTCACCAAGTACACAATGATTCTTGTGTCCACTTACACCTAATTTGTCGAAGCTTATGACCGACTGAGACCTGAACTCGCAGCATGTTTTGGAAATGATGTCAGTGAGTTCTTTTTCTGACCACGATGAAGCAGGTCCATCTTTAAGTCCTTCTGAATCAATGATTGATAAACGTCGTATTCCCAATTTTCTTGCAGCACTGTTCATTTCAAGCTTTCTGACGTCACCAAGTCCATCGTAGTTTCCAGTTGTGACGCACAACAAATCGACATGGTATCCTGTATATATCAGTTTGAGTATAGTGGGTGCAAAAAACATAGATTCGTCATCTGGATGTGCAACAACAACGAGAACTGGATGCTTCACTTTGATTGTTTTGCGGCCAGCGATAACAATAAAACATATCCATAATATGAATATTAGTATGTTATATCCAATAACTGGAAAATAAAAGAGATAATAACGAAGCATTCAATGAAGAGAAAAAGATAACAATCAACCACTGCCAAAAACTTAATCAGTGTTGCTGAAAAACCAATACCATATTCATGCAGTTGGTAAGGAAACAGACTACTGTGTGAGGAACTGATACTACCTCGTTGACCAAACCTTAGTAGGTGAACTGAGGTTCAAGCCCATGACGCAATTCCACCCATAGTTTATTGCTACATTCTGCGCATATGAAGTGTTTCTTAAAACCTGTGAAGTTCATATACTACTCTCTCCCGACCGAAAGCTGCTACCTTGACGTGGTGGTCGGGCTTGAACACCGCAATGATCTATTCAAGCTATACTGGCTGAGACTTATGTCTCTTGAGGTACTACCATGCCAGGCAGGTTGTTTGGATAGCGGTTAAACAAAAAGCAGCTACCCAATCCAACATCATGTCCAATACAAAATTTCATGCCGGATCGGCCGTGGCCCGGATTAACAACGACCGCGCTTCCTGCTGCCGTGTCACAGGGCAGGAGTGATAAATCTGCTACTGAGACACACCAAACAAAAAAGAACGAACAAAAACAGGCCGCGTGTGACCGGCCTCAAGCAGTTGTCCCCTGGGCTCTGCGGTCACGCAACCAACTTCCACGGTGTGGGCAGCCGGGAAGTAACAATCGCCCTCACAATCCGAAATGCACACGAAACCTCTCTATTACTCACTCATCTTTGTCTTCATCTCTATCATCTTGCCTTCCTTCCACTGATGCAACTCCTCGACTTGATAGCTCTCCACTTCCTCTCCACTCTGCGTCCACTAAAAACGATGGAAGCCAAAAAACCACCACCGACAGCCTCTTAAAGCCGCGCCACCAATTTCATATAGGAGCTCTTAATGTTAGGACACTTTGCCAAATAGGACAACAAGCATCACTAGCCAAGACCCTGGCATCACGAGCCATTGATGTATGCTGTGTTTCAGAAACACGCATACAAGACCCAAGTGTGGTTATTCACCTAACCCCACCTGGCCAACAGGTTGAATCTGCAAAATTCACCTTGAGGGTGTCAGGAGATGCCACAGCTAGTTCACGAGGATTAGCTGGCGTAGGGATAGCTTTGAGTACTAGGGCAGAAAAGACATTGCTTGACTGGATCCCGGTAGATAGCCGAATGTGTGCTGTCCGCCTGAACGGATCAGTAAGAAGGAGGAAGGACTGCACTACTCGCCGATGCCTTTTCGTAATCTCCGCCTACGCCCCCACTGACTGCAGTTCAGATGAAACGAAGGATGAGTTCTACCAAAAGCTGTCTAGTTTGGTGGAAAGGCTAAACGCTCAGACATAGTCGTTCTAGCTGGTGACTTTAACGCTCAAGTAGGGAAATTGTGTCAATCTGAGAAGGATGTCGGTGGCACCTATGGAGTTCCGTGCCAGCGAACCGACAACGGTGACCGTCTCCTACAGTTCTGCTCTGATAATCATTTGTTTCTTGTAAGCACTAACTTTAAACACAAGGAGAGACACTGTTTGACTTGGAGACCCCCTTCATCAAACCAACGCTGGACACAAATAGACCACATAGCAATAAGCTATCGTTGGCGTGGGTCGGTAGGAGATTGTCGCTCCTTCTGGAACACGTGCGTAGATACCGACCATGCACTGGTCCGCGCTCGGGTGTGCTTACGACTGAACGGACGTAGGAAACAGCTGGCGGTAAAACCATCACGTCCCCAGCTCGATCAGGAAACTAAATCCGTATTTGAGGAAGAACTAGCTAAACACATATCTGTGTTCGACAGCTGTGCTCACCCTGAAGAAGCTTGGAAAAATATCCAGGCAGCCATAGATACAGCTGTAAAAGCTGTGAATAAGGTAAACCCAAAGGTGAGTAAAAACCACTGGATCTCCACCGCCTCATCCGAACTGATAGATGCTAGAAGACTTATTCCGGCGAGCTCCGAATTCAATGAGGAGCGAAAGCTGCACAAGAGGAAACTTACGAAAAGTCTCCGCAAGGACCGTGAACAGTGGTGGGCGACAAAAGCCAAAGAGATGGAGAAAGCTTCGAGGATAGGCAACACCAGGCAACTCTTTGGACTCATCAGGGAAACGGGTGGGAGAAGACAAATCATCAGTGAGACAATCTCGGAAAAAAATGGCACTATAATTAGCTCCAGGATAGACGACTGGATCGTTGGAAAGAGCATTATGAGGAGCAGTTTAATTTGCCCACAGCCACGCTCAACCTTCCGAGCATCCAACACCTCCCTGAATGGGATATAGACACAGGTCCTCCGTCACTAACTGAGGTTACTAAAGCTGTCACCAATCTGAAACTAGGCAAAGCAGCGGGACCTGATGGAATGACTCCAGAGGTATTTAAGTACGGTGGAGACAGCTTACTGTCCGCATTAACTGAGGTACTAGGCAGCGTCTGGGAATCAGAAGAAGTCCCATCGGGTTGGTGTAAGTCACTGATTATCCCCATATACAAGAAGGGAGACAAGTCTTCCTGTGATAATCACAGAGGGATTAGCTTGACTAATATAGTATCTAAAGTCTTAGGCTCAATAATCATGCGTAGACTGAGTGGTGCTCGGGAAGCACAAACACGAGAGAGCCAGGCAGGCTTTAGACCAGGAAGAGGGTGTATTGATCATATCTTCACCCTCCGACAGATTCTAGAACATAGGCATTCCTACCGGCGTCCAACAGTCATTATATTTCTTGACCTAAAGGCAGCATTCGACTCTGTCGATCGGGAAGTTCTCTGGAGATGCTTGGCTGTAAAGGGAATTCCGAGAAAATATATTGCACTGATTAAGGCACTCTACTCGTACTCATACAGCCAGGTGAGGGCTTACGGCGAGCTGTCATCTGAACTGATGACGACCAGTGGTGTCCGTCAAGGATGCCCATTATCTCCTTTTCTATTCAACTTCATCATAGATGTGTTAATGGACTTAACCCTAGGTGACTTCAGCGACTCAGGGATTGACTTGCTACCGGGGAATAATCTCGTTGACTTGGAATATGCAGACGATATAGTCCTTCTAGGCGAAGACGCTGACGAAATGCAGAGTCTTCTAAACACCTTGAGCCGCAATCTACGAATGTTTGGCATGCGATTCGCTCCCGCCAAATGCAAGATGATGTTACAGGACTGGACTACATCGACGCCTAGTTTAAAAATAGGAAGTGAAGTGGTAGAGCACGTTGACCGCTTCACTTATTTGGGAAGTACCATCAGCCCCAACGGGCTGATCTCTGACGAAATCTCAGCACGAATACAAGGGGCTCGTTTCGCATTTGTTAGTTTACGCCGACTCTGGCGTAGACGAGATGTTCGACTATCGACCAAAGGGCGGGTGTACTGCTCATCAGTCCGCTCCGTCCTCCTTTATGGTTGTGAGACCTGGCCACTGAGAGTGGAAGACATGAAAAGACTAGCTGTCTTTGATCATAGGTGCCTGCGTTCTATTTCCCGTGTAAAGTGGCATAATAAGGTGAGCAACATGGAGGTTAGGCGTAGAGTTCTAGGTAAACAGGGGAAATCAATCGACGAAGTCGTGAAGCTACAAAGACTGAGATGGTTAGGACATGTGTTACGTATGCCAAGCCATCGCCTCCCTCGACGAGCTATGTTAGCGGATATAGGGTCAGGCTGGAAAAAAGCTAGCGGCGGTCAAACAAAAACTTGGCATCAGTCAATGAAATCCACAACAGTTGGTCTAAGCCACGTAGGAAGGTGTAGACTTCCAGGCTGGGGTCCTCGGGACGGTAAAAATCTATGGTTGGAAACAATTGGTGACATGGCTCAAAATCGTTCTCAGTGGCGCAGATGCATCCACTCCCTGTGACTTATGATCTTCAATGAAACTGTTTTGTATTTCTTTATTACTCCTTTGTCTCACACCTCTGCTCACTGTTTCTATTATGCTTTTCTTGTACTTTCTTCTCTTGCTTCGCGTGCTACACGGAATGTGGCGACTTGAACTTCCGCACATTTGTGCAAAGTTCTATGTCGAAAACAGACAGACTCCATGGCAGTTCCACTGCAATCCAGTGATATTCGGAAGATAATACCTACCAACTTTGGTAGGTATTTGCTAATAGTATGCTTTTAATGGTCAGGACCCCATAATGGAGAGCGTGCCAAGGTAAAATACACTAGCTCCTTCCTTATTATGCATTCGGTATTTAATGTGCATCAAAATCAGTGTATGCTTATAGTAGACAGTTGGGTAAGTTGTATGCATTCTATAGTTTTACTATGGCTTCCTAAATAATGCAGACATTTTGAGAAATCAGTCCCAATGTCTAATCGAGTGACGATGCTAAACACTACCGAACAATCATTTTCATTTGATATAAACACCATAAAAGACATCATCATACTGGAGTTTTCCAATAAGTATTATGCAGAGCATTTATAATTAGCATGGTTAAGCAGTTTGTATGGGTGACGGAATAGGCAAATTGAATATTAACTGTTATATTTGAGAAGTAGAAATTTCCGGGAAATGCATCAAGCAGTGATGAAGATTAAAAAAAAGGTAGAAATACACCTGAGATGACATCTTAAAATAACTAAACTAAATTCTAAAGTATGGAGTTGTAGTTTTCTTAAGAGTCTCCATGATGCTAACCCATAAAGTTACTGGCTTCAGCAGTGTAATATGCAGAAGAATTAAGATACTCGGGTTTGAGACATTATGAATCAGTAGTTGGAAACTTTCTTGATAGTCTGTAATGAATTACAGTTGCACAGGTGTTTACTTTTTATTGTTATCAAAATGCCTGAAATCCTCGATAATTTTCAATTAGGCTTTGAAACTCGTGCTTTCTCTTTAGCCTGCTGCTTTGAATAGTGACCACTCGAAACTGTGTCTTCCTTCAATAAACATATTACAGTAGATTTGAGCGCAGTGGTGCTAAAGTACATAGACTTGGTATATCATTTTAGTACATGTGACACACTTACTAGTAATAATCCACATCTACCGTTATATTCTAGATAAGTGTGCAGTTTGTGTTCTATTGGAAGATAGAAGTTGTTATCAGCTGCCCAGAAGATACTGGCTTGGCACCTCAGCGAGTATCTAAATATGGCCACACAAAAAAATCAATTAATTCCCGAACGCTCAGATTTATTTTCTTTTAAATATCGCGATAAATTATCCTGAGACTTCTCCCTAGATTTCTTATCTCTGTGTGGTTTAGCTTCTCTATAAACAATCCGGCAGTAATAATTGATACCGTTTTGTGAGATTGTTCTTTTGGGTAGATTATTCAGTTGCATTTTAATACATGGTATTCGCATGGGTAATAAAGAAATTTAGACTACAATTTAGGACTAAGATTGTTCTCAGAATTGGAAAGAAATTTGTCAACAGAAGTAAAGATTCAGAAAAGTATGTATTGATTTGTCTTGCAGGAAATCACCCAGCAATAATCAACACAAAAAAAATTCTGGAGAGCCATGTTATCTAGTTCAAAGAATCAAATACAGCTTAGTACTGTTGAACAATACTATCTGGTAAAATTTGCACAGAGGTTGAAAGACAATGGAAAACTGTGATATCATACTCATGGTTTCTCAGTTTTTTACGTTGAAAGTATAAAATAAGACCGGGGGTCACAAAGTACTCAACGGACGGATTTTAAATACTCCCTACTACGAAAACTACAGCTTAATGATCTAAGCACTCGACTTCCAATCAGTACGTAACATGTTCAAACTACGCTCACCTGAAGATGTTTGGGTTATCATGTAGTATCACCAGCGCCCACACAATATGTGGCTCAATACTAGCTGCATGGAACTGCAGTCGGTTGTTGAGTAACATTACAGTGAGTAAGCAACTTCATAAATCGTAGTCAATTTCCTTCAATCCACATAGTAGTATCACGGGTACTTCAGTCACATTTCGGGAAAAAGTTTGTGAATTTTTAATATGAATGATACTATTCACAATTTTCACGCTCTTGAAACGAGAGTTCATGTCTATCCAATGAAACAACTGCTAAACCACAGACTACCTAGTGGAAGAAAATGAAACTTGGAAATACAATATTGCTTCATAATTTGAAGCACTGAGTAGTCTCGTAAGGTATCTTAACAAACGGATACTACAGACAGTTAGCAGGAAGTTCTTTTAGACATACAGATATATATATATATGACAAACCCACCTCTTTTTACCATTTTTTTTCATTGCAAGCAACTTTATATCACTCAACATCATATCTAGCATACAGAATTAGGTATCTTCACAGATGGAAGTAAAGATATGAAATGGCCAAAACGTTTACTTGGCTTCTAAGTTTAAAATCATTAACATCCAAATACGCATAGAAGAGGGGCACTGATTAGAACCGAAAGTGAGCCTACTCACGTTTTATATGGTATGTATATCTATACAGATACACAGGAATTCGTAAGGTGATGTTTCCCACACTTGTATGATTTATGCTTGCTGTTTTATATCAAGGAGACGGTCTCTAACCTTGTGTCAAATTGACAAATATGATTTGTTCGGATCAGAGGCATTTATGCAGATTCAGATTCACTGACTGAGAATACAAAGACATGAAGCCTATCCCAATCCATTTTTAATAAGCTTTTTAATTCAGAACAACTTAGCGAAGACGCACCGACCAATCTGCCGTACAGTCAAACCTTTGATCCATCCTTTATAAGCTATGCATGGTCATGCCAGTTACCGTTGTTGGGAATAGCTCAGCTAAGAATGGTTTGACTAGGTTGAAGTCTTGTTCAAACATAGCTTTGGGGTCTGAAGCCATAGATTTTTCCACTTTATGGAGGATGAGCGACGGGTCAGAGAGATCATTTAGCTTAAACTGACTTTATTGCTATGGGGTAATAGTGTCTTCCCGTTCTTCATGGACAGTATTCCCTTACAGCGACTCGCTTTTTGCGAGTGACTACAAAGCAATATTTCACTGACACCCTTTTGTCACCTAACTGTGATTACTCATCCACTTGCGTCGTAGGAAAGGTTAAATATACCTGTTCAGCGGCACCCTCTACTGTGGTTTTACGACTATTACTACGCTCTTTCATTGAGGCAGAAATAGGTGAGTTGGTGTTACAGCCTCCCGGCACCGTGTCGTTATAGATACCTAAACGCTTATCGGAGACAGAAAGAATAACGTCAGTGTTTGAGTCACCGTTGATGTTACTCTACGACGAATGACCTTCACTTACCGACAATGACGCATCAAGTATGCGTAGTGTCTTATCAATGGCCTTAACTGCGTCACTGGTATCCGAGCAGTGTTGCTCTCCTATGGGAAAGGGTGTCTGCAGTACAGAAGATTCAATGCCTAGTTGAGTATAGCAATATCTACTTATAAACGGTATGCTGTATAGCTGCCGCCATAATAACACAACTAGTGTGCGAGGGGTTACCAGCAATGCTTGTAGGCTGTAGGAGTTATGCTGGTGCAATTATTCAGCAACCACAAGTTACGGTTACTACATACATGCCTTTTTGAACTGTAAGCTGACACATTAGTCTCTCACAACAGTTTTCTAACTGAAATATTTCCCAAGATAAATTCGTAACTACAGAAGTTAAATATGACTTAAAACATGAGAGGATAGCACCTAAAAATATAAGACACCCCATTCAGCATTTTTTTCTGGCATAGTGCAGAAATTTCGAGGCAACATCGGGTGTATTGCGGACAGTTACCTGCTGTCTGCCCTAAACTTCCTGCAATGCGCTGGAAGTCAGTGCCAGTATACTCTATAGAGGCGGAGTTTTGTAAAAACTGCAGAGGAGTAAATAACAACAACGCCACAAAACAAACCCCGAATAAAAATATCTGGGGCAACTCGAAGCAGACAAATTAGAGATGTAATTAGACAACATCAGCTAAATAGCGCAATTTAAGTTGGTCAATGCACGATTTTTCTCTAAGACTCATCGAGAACTAATCTGAACACAATCAGAGTAGAAGTTTACCCGTATGATTTTATGGTGCATAGCACAACAAAAGCCGATATTGAACAAGAACAGACTTGTCCCTATTCACATGTGAGACAAATTGCATCAGATTTGTAGAGGTCCTGTGTTCACCACGGCACTAGTCTTTTGTTATTTACAACAGACAGAAAGTGTAGGAACTAGAAAAATCAAAATACTTCAGACATTAAAGACAAGACACTACCACCAATGAGCAAGAAAACGTCAGCAAATAGGCCTGACCTTGTCTGCTTGAACAGCGCGCAGCAGGAGTCCGTCTTTCCGAAAGTAATGAGGCAGTAGAAATTGAATACTTTTTCTGTGCCTGCTTACCGATACTACAGGACTGTTTTTGGCAGTCACACAGTTCTTAGATAGCATCTACAAACACTGGTTTGTCTAGGAACTAGAGGGCATCCAATATCGTTTCCACGAGATTATGGTAAGGTTCAACAATAGCGTCCCAAGGGATGGGTTCGCACGAGTGTCCTTCAGCGGACCAACCATAAAAATGAGGAATTTTTGCACAAAATGTGACGTATAATTACAGGAGAATGCATGAGAACACAATAAGTGAGGTGTCTTTCTCTGACATGACTTAAAAATAAATCCCAGTAATAATGAGGAGTATCAGTTGCAAAGTTAGGCTAATTGCCGTACATTTATTCACCGAGATGAAAAACCATTAACTGCTTTTGTAAGTCATTTATATTTCTGTGGTGTGGTCTTCTTCAAAAAACTCGTTTGAGTTACTACGATTTCCAGTAAGAGGATAGACGACTACTCACCAGGAAAATGTGGATAATAAAACAAATGGAAATAGATGACATCACTTCTAAATCTATCCTCAATGGTAACCCTAAACTCAATCATGACCCTAATCCTAAACTGAACACGAACGTCAATCCCAACCCTAATTACAACCCGTATCTTAACCCTAACCCCAATACTTACCTTAACCCTAATCCTAGCTCTAACGAGGTATTAGCACAATGTCCAAACAGTATTTAAAAACGTGATCTGAGTGAAATTTGCTTCTTGGTTGGTGAATAGGGTTGATATTTCGGTTACGACAATGACAGGGGCTGTCAGCCAACAATTGGCATGCATTTAATAATAATAATAATGTATATTCTCATATAAACATATAAATTTACATGAAAATGCATGCCATTTTTACAGGCACGATCAAGTAAGTTATAGTCTCAAATCTCAGATTGTCTACAAGTTAATCATATTTCAACTGTTAAATATTTGATACATACAATACACTCATTGTCTGAACTAGGCCGTATGGTTGTTGAATTGTACAATTTTCCTCCAGGTTGCGCGGGAAAATCGACTTCGTTTCGTTTTCATCCCGTGGTTGTAGGCATACGATAACCAACCAATATTGAGGTACGTACAACTTCTACAACGGATTCAAAGCTGTTTTAGAAAAGTAAAAGTGCTGAGGTGAATCATTAAATTGTAATGAAATAGGTAAGTGCGAGTATCATTAATAAATGCATTAATAAAATAAACTCCCTAGGCTGACAACGTTCATTTGCAATGTATAATGCTACACGTATACCTCGTACTATCATGATGTCCACTTTTGGTTTGAATACATTTATCCTCAGTTGTGCCAGTTGTTTTTGTTTTATACCTTTTTGTGCATTTAATGTACAACCGTACCCTTCAGAGAGTAGGAATATAATAAGTCATAAAGAGCTGTAAAATGTTAGGTTTAATGGGATATAATGAGGATCAAGTAAAGACGTTATTGGAAAATGAATGAGATAAGACATTGTGAAGTGGTATTTAAAGATCAGTCAATGGACAGCAAGTTAGTTTATAAGATGCCCCATAAAACTGTGCACATCCCACATGGTCGCATCTCAACAATAGGCTGGGCGAATAGTATATATTTAGAGGTAGAAGCATGATCTGTCAAGGCGTTCATTATTATCTTTTTCAAGATAAAGATCTAAGCCCTCATAAAAATCAGAAATATCTCGAGCCTTTAATTTGTGTATCGCTGTTCCTGCAGAATGGGGCGATTCAGATTAGTGACGCCCACCATATCTACTGATCAGCTAGCGCCACCCTCCCTCCTTTTTTGATGTTAGGCTCTGAGACTATGATTATTATGGCTACCGCAAATATACTGCTTGGTACCAGACATGTTCGTACCTCATATTCCATCTCCCTAGCTTTCTTAATGAGTGCTTCCAATAGGTCTCCGCGTACATCTTTATGAACATTATATATGTATATATGTAAGATCACTGGAGCGTTCGTACTCCTGAGACGCTATTGTTCAACCTCGCCGATGGTATAAACCGTCGTGAATCATTTGTGCTCGCTTCTTGATTGTCAGGTAAAGGTTCCTGATCATCGGTAAACTTCTGCTAAGTTTGTCCCGACACTTGACTATCGTAACTTTGGTTGACTCTCAGAGGAGTGGTGTCAATGGAGTTGAAGATTGAACGATCAATTCTTGGTTGTTTGCTTAAAATCAACTTCCCCAATTTTCGCGGAGGCATCAATACGGCAGTCATCGTCTCATCGGTCGCTGTTCAGAAAGAAGAGTGAAACATCGTCAGAAGTAATACAATGATTTATTATTGTAATATTTGTTTTCAGAACTTAGTTCGCTTATTCCTTTTATATGTTGGTGTAACAATAAACAAATATCAAGCTGCAGATCGGTGTTTTGGTTTTTTCGTCCGTTATAACTAAGCGTTTCTGAAATCTTCAAGGAACAGCGTGGGCCCGAGCGTAGCGAGAGCTGGGCATTAACGGTTTATGAGACGTGATTGACAGTTTCTGACGATAGAAACAGATCTGGCGGATTCAAACAGTTGGTGAAAGTTTGGATAGTCGCCGTTCATTTTTCCTGGTGCCGGTCAAGTCCTCTTTGAACAAGCAATATCTAGAACGTTTTTGGAATTGGGTCGAGTCCAACAATGCCTGGGTCAAAGAAGGGACAGAGTGTCTTGGATGCAAACAGGAAAGTAAGTCATGGTGACTTGCCTGTTAATTGTAATGATGTGTCTGATGTTAAGCATGACATGGTTGATGTTACTGTTTCGCCGTTCAGGGATAATAGGAACGTCAAACTCCCTAAATTTGAACCACGGTGTTTTGATGGAAACCCGGCTGATTATTTACAATTTGTAAAGGAGTTTGAGATCATGTTGAGTGGTTTTCTATTAAATGATGAATTGAAGTTAATGTATTTGATGAGATATTGCACTGGAGATGCTGCAAGAGCTATACAGTGCTGTAAGTTTGTGAAGCCAAAAGAGGGCTACGATGAGGCTATGAGCATATTACGTCAAAGGTTTGGAAGACCTTCGATGATTGCAGGGAAATTATTCGAGGCTGTTAAGGGTAATGGTGGTCAATTACAGGATGACTCTCAGGCACTCACTGAGTTTTTAGATAATTTGCTAATTTACAAGAATGGAATGATTTCGATGAATCGCATGAGTGAGCTCAACTCAAGTTTTATACTAGAAGTAATAGCAAGACGTCTACCTACTCGACTGCAAAGGAAGTGGGTGAAGATAAGCTCCCGTATGGAGGATGAGGGTATCGAGCCAGGGTTTGGTGATATCCTGAAACTGGTAAATACTAGTGTCAATCAATCTATGAGCAGGTTTTCCAGTCTGTTAGATCTCACCCCTAGAATAGAGCAGTCTGAGGGTAAAACGCAATCATTGATGACGAATAAGCCTCAGAGAGGTGGATATCGAGAAGGCTCTATGATGTCTAGTAATGCATATAAACTTAGTGAGTGTAACAGGTTTCGTAGTACATCCTCAACAGATAAGTTACAAGATGCAAGACAAACACGGTTTTGTTTTACACGTGTGCAAGAGGTGCATACAGAAGTGAACTGTGAACCGGTGAGCAAGTTCATTGATAAGCTGAATGTAAACTCCAGGTCTGACTCCGAATTGTGTGACGATAACGGTGTTGTGAAGAAGTCTGTAGTTGCAACTGGTAAGCCGTTGTTGAATAGAGTGTCACAGCATAGAGTTACTGCTTCAGAGTGGGGTTCTGACTCCACAAGTTTACAAAGTATAACTAGTCAGAGTGAAGATATAAAACCTTTAATGATTTTTGAGGAGGAACCAAAATTGTCTACTTCTGTTATTAAAGAGTTTGAAAATGATGAAGTTGACGGTAAATTGAATATTTGTGGTAATGATCATGATGGTGCACATTTGTCTTTGGTTGATCATGATGAGATGAGGGATATGCCTACTACTGCTAAGTTAAATAAAGGTTCTGTACAACTACAACGTGAAGTAGAATTGAACGCAGATGCAGTTCCAGAAAGTGTGCATACTTGTGAGACAGTCAGTGTAATTGATCAGCGTGTAGCCCACCTATCATCAGATGATAGTGCTAAACCCGAACTAGTAGTGAAAGACAGCAGCGGTGGTAATCTTGCAGTTGGACGACTATATGAGAGCCGAAAATGAACAGCTTCTGATCCACCGCTAAGTTCATCACCTTGTGTCACTCAGTCATCGTTGGTGCTGTCATCCACAATGAAACAGAATCTCATCAACTCAAGTATCTTGTGCAATGACTATGCTAGTATCAGCTCGTTTGAAAGGACGAATATCAATGGTCAGCTTAGTGAGGATAAGCCAAGTGTAAAGGAGAGAGTTATTGTTAAATTGACTTGCACGAATAAAGGCATTTCTAGGTTCAGGTTACTATTTGAATGTTATTATCTTTGGTGTAAATTACTCTGTTTCTACACTTGGTTGATGAGATATGTCGTGTGTTTGTTCGTCATCTATATTCTACGATACAATGACATGGGCGTGTTGCCGTTCAGATTTGAGGATATAGCTGATAGAAGGAAGTTAGCAAATGAACTCTGCGACAATTTTCCAACCTAGGGCGTCAACCTGAGAAGGGTTGTAGGCGTACTGGTGTAAGTCCTGCAATTCTTCAAAGGAATTCCACCAAGACATTATCGGCGAGGATTTTGTACAATTTGTATATACGTGTGGTGTGTCATATCAGTTGGTGTTTTTTGTATTCATTGTGTTTACTCGTTGTTTTCGTACCTTGTTTTTGTTGCATAATTTTGTTAAAATTTTCGTCGTGATTACTTCTGAAGTTGTTTCGAGTCTTCTACATCCATGAATGAATTGATTGATGTTAAGGACAGCAGATGGGTCGTATACTCCGGGGAGGCTAGGCTATTGCTGAGAATTAACTGCACACGGAGATAATTGTTAGCTGCGGTCCGACA